GCCATGTGACGAGCAGACGCTGCACGCAAAACCGATGCATGACGAACGGAGTCATCAGTCCTAGGTGCTGGGCCTACAAGGAGAGAGTTATTAATGGGATGGGGAGAGGGAGAAAAAAAAGTATGTGAAGGAGAAAGAAGGGAGGCGTCAGCAGTAGCCTGTTTTCGCTTACCCGCCCTGCTGTATGCAGCAAGTAAGGCGACCCGGCTGATGGCACCACGCGACGGCATGAGTTTATTTGTGTATGTGCAATTCATGGTTGTACGTGGGTTGGGATACTGCCAGGACGCCCACACCTAGACAGGAGGACGATTAGGGTCCTCACCCAAAGCCTTTGGCTCAAAAGCCTAACCGCAAGGCAGCGGTGTTGGGAAAGAAATGCAGATGCATTATCCTTTTTACGGAACAAGTTGCCAGATGTTCCAACCCCCAACCTGGACGGCCAGGAGACTGTGTCAGACCTCTCGGTGTTTGGCGGGAAATGCAGATGCATTATCCTTTTTACGGAACAAGTTGCCAGATGTTCCAACCCCCAACCTGGACGGCCAGGAGACTGTGTTTGTCAGACCTCTAACCATTGACCAACCTAGTATGAGAGACTGTGACTGTCGGGGGACACTCCACTATAGCTCAATGGATGGGAGTCGGGATGGCTCAAGTGTTTGGAGAGTGAATATACTGACAGGAAGTTCCGTGGTTCGTACCCGACCTATGCCACTCGACTTCCCCTGTCTAGGCTTGGGCGACCTGGCAGTATCCCAGCCCTCGTGCCTGCTTGGTGTGGATAGCAGCTAGGCACCCAAAGGGTGCTACAGCTGAACGATTATTATAGCTCAATGGATCGCTGAGGTGCGCGAACCGTCACACCACGGTAAGGTCCAGTCTCTTCATGACGGAAGGTACTGACAGAGGTGGGATTCGAACCCACGCCCTTTCGGACTGGTGCCTTAAACGGGCGCCTTAGACCGCTCGGCCATTCAGCCGATGGGTAGCGAAAAGGACGGGGTTTGGCCAGTACAAGTTTCGCTATGGATGCTGATTTCAGTTCACAAAACATGCCGTGCTAATGGAAACGCGATCTTTGTTTGGCAGTAATGCCCTCTTATGTAGCACTTATCACAGCCGTACTAGGAACTACGCCCTTTCATTCGCATGACAAACGAGCGTTCTGGTTTATCACAAATAATTGCATCCAAAACGGCGCAACAGTGCAGGCCAATAATGACAAAGCCCAGGCACAGAAACTCCTCAACTTCCTGCACCACGTCCTCGGGGTTAGCAACTTCTCCATGAGACCTACTAGAACCGCAGGGTTTGTTATAGTACTCCCTTCGAGGGGAGGAATGTCGTTGTCGTTTGGGCCTGCAGATGTTATGCCAGCGTTTCGTTTCGAAGAAAAAGCGAACCGTGGCTACAAGGTGCCTCTTGGGTGAATAAAATGAAGTCTTGCCTGCTTTATGGACGCAGGTTGGGGAACTCTATCAGGTGAATGAAACACCAACAGACTTCACGAGACTTAAGAGCGTTTGAAACAACGACAATTTTTGAAAAAATCTGAATGCATGTTGTCTGTTCCTGAGTGCGAAAAACGCTGCCGCACCTCGTCATCTTTCTCATTAACCAAAGGCTCAGGAAAGCGGATGCGTTACCATCATTAGGGTCCGAAGAGGATTACGTCGTGAAATCATCATCATCATCGACAGCGTGACATCAGTGTTCAACACCGATGCTTCACTGCCGTACGTCGTGAAAAGCACTTTGGGACGAGCGCTGTTGCTATGCCACAGGTACTTCTCAATTGATCACACACCGGCACCTAAACAACTCTTGTCTCGTTGTGAGACAAGGGAGGAACACATGTGTCGTTGCAAGGCTTCTGAAAAATAATCCAGATTCTCCACTTGTACATTAGAAAAGCTCTTGAACCACACGTATGTCATCCATTGATAGTCGTCCAGCTGTAACACCCTTTCGGTTCTTAGCTACCATTGCACCGAAAAGAAGAACGGGAGCTGAGGTATTGCCAGGCTGCCCAAGCCTACGCAGGAGCAGTCGAGCTACAGAGGTTGAGTGCTAACCGCGGACCTTCCTGTTACTAAGTTCATGCCTTAACCACTGATCCCTCACAACCGTTTGCAGCCCCGTTCTTATCAGGCTCATTAGTCAGTCAATTTAAGTAGGTATGGTGCCTTAAAACGAAAACACAGCTAGGGTGCCATGCAAAGCTTACAGGATGCTATGTGTCTTCCGACGCGTGGTACACTTTGGACTAGGGAGACCGTCTCGAAACTTTCTACATTTATCCGGCCTATGAGGGAGTACTATGCACCGGCTAATTCCCCGTGTAAGAAAAGTGAACATCTGTGGGGCGCCTTCAGATTTCTTACCACCAATGTCTCAGGGGGTTGCTTCTATCGGATGGCGCCAACCGATTTGTAGCGAGGTACTTGGAAACAGGTACTTCAGTCGCAGAAAACATCCAGCCTCATCAGCTGCGGTTGCTCGGTCATGTGTTATGCATGCCGAAATGTCCTCTATATATGCTGTTTCTTCGAAATGGCGCAACTCACGAGGTAGACAATCTGTGACTTGGCAGAAGGCTTTTAAAGTATATTACGAAAAGTTTGTGGTATGTCTTCCAGAATGGTGCCCCTGTAAACCCCTTTTCACTTCACTGGCGACATTGCATGAATTAGCTGCCAATCCATAGCAGTGGCGTTCATTTTTTCTCGTTTCTTTTCAGATTGCCCGATTGTTCATTTGCAGGTTGTTGCGAGAGTCGACTAGCTCCAGGTCGTGATTAAGCGGGAGACAGAATAGAAAGGCGTAATGTACGCTTTAGTCACATAATAACGGTAGTAAATGAGCTGAAAATATAAAGTGAGAATCACGGGTTAATAGTGTATGAAACGTATTGTTTACACAGTCACGATACAGGTGTGGACACCGTAGGATGCATATAGTAGGTTGGCACCAGGTCCCTCCCCTCATCCGCTCCTTTCCCTCCGTTCGCTTTAGGGCTTTGTGGTTGTATGGTAATGGAGCATTCGTGCCAGCCACGGAATTGCTGTCTCTGGTGGCTGATTACGACAGGTATCGTTTTTGGAGCGTTGGTTTTCCTCCAAGCCAAAATGAACTCGAGCTAGCTCATTGGTTATGGCGCCAGTTTGCGGACCAGAAGGTCCGTTGTTAGAACCAAATCTCAGCATCTCGACTGCTGCTGTCTAGGCCTGGGCAGCTTGGCAGTATCCCATCCCTCGCGCCTCCTGTCGGTATGGCAGCTAGGCATCGAGACGGTGTTACAGCTGAACGACTATCCTTTTTTGTTATCCAAGCTGAAATAACATGCAACCCTCGAATCCCGTCTCTTGTTGTAATCTGATCTCTTTTTAGAGGATTTTCTGTAATTCATATTATATGAATTAGGCCACTCAGTAGTTTCTTGCCAAGCTTTGCTAATCTCACAATCACATCCTCCGTTTCCTCCAGAGGGGCATCAATCGTCGACCAGACAATCGAAACAATCGCACCCAAGAAACCACTTGTAGCAAATGACACGTCTACCACAGACAAGTAGGTTCCTATTTGTAACATTATGTTTACGCTTCTTTCGACCATATTTTGACTAATTTTCACTCCTAGGCATTCGAGTCATCCGGTTTCCGAAACGGCTGCAGCCAAACCAAGTCTTCTAACTCATCTCCTACTTGGTCGTAGTCGTATTAGCAGGCAAGTGAAACTATATTTTGTATAAGGATGTATTTGGGGGAAAACAGAAGTCCGAGGACAGCCACACCTACAGATTTGACTGCAGATCATGCTCGACCAAGCCTGCTTATACAGTACGTTGCTCTTGAATTCCATAACACATTTTTCGTCGAGTTCGGTTGCCGATCCGAAAAACCCCGTGAATGAGACTGTTTTTCAGAAGAAATCTGTCGTTTCAGATGCATTAAATGTGTCACTCACGTTGGACACAAACCAGTCGCCGAAGCGTTCAGACACTGAGCAAGTTTAGATATAGTGTTCGTTTTAGTCTGGTAGTGTTTCATCTCCACAGAGTGAATTCAACAGTATAGTCGGTTTGGAAGGAGCGACTGAAACCAGTGAAGATTTTGACGAGGGTACGAACAGGTGCTGCTCGTCTACCAGGCTTTCTCTGGAACAGAAGTAATCAGCTCGCCTTGTTAAATCATTCCCATTCCACTCTAGGAGCCAACAAAACGAGTCTACAAATTCTGAGCATGTCCTTTCCCAACCAGCTGAGAGTCAACCATCTAACACTGTGGAGACGTAAGTTACTCACAAGGACTTGGCAAGCCCGTTCTGGCAGCGCATCAGCCACTCCGTTTACAGAAACACTGAACTTTGGAGAATGCAGTGGATCTGTCTCATCAGCGAACAATGGAGTGCGGACGGTGTAAGTTACCTTAGTGTCTTCGTTTTATATTGGGCAAGGCCAGTCGTGCCCCCAATGGTATATGCTGTTTAGTCCACTTAGAATTCACAGTATTCATATGGTCTGGTTCAAAAGTGGTTTCAATGTACCCATTTACTCTTTTCAGGAGCATGAAACGACGTCGTACGAGACGAGTGTATTTGTAAGTACCTCACCAATTTTATAGACTTGTCGTTATCATGGCTGTTGCAGTCAGTGTCACTCCCCCATTTGCCTTAAATAAACCTACAGGTGTACCAAGGGCCAAGTGTGAGAATGGTTGGTTAGACTCTGTGTATGCACTTGAATGGAATAAATTCAAATCCTGCGTCGTGATAATCTTATCGCGTGCTTCCGTGTAAGCAGGTTGTGTCCCCAACTAACGGCTGCTTTCGAAAACTGATGATTTTGACTAATCGCATTTTGTTCAGTCATCGATCTTTGCTAAGGACCTGTGCAAAGGGTGAATGTCAATGAGGTGTACGTGCAAGTCGGTCGGTTCGTGCGTTGTCAAGTGGCGAGCAAGTCGAGTCACGAACAGGCGAGTGCAAAAGTTACAAGGGGCATCGCGGCATTTAAAGCGCACTTCTGTCCTTCAATTCAGGCTCTCTGATCAGCTTTGGGTAAATTCTCGCCATCGTTGCCCGTGATTCTATGATATGTTTGAGCACTCATCATCATAGGTCACCGCTGAACTTATTGCTTCTTTGGGCGTCCAATCGGCAGTCGGCTTTTCTGACCCAGATGATTGACACAGTCCCCACTGCGACTTTGGCGAATTTTGAGGGTCTCTTTAGGGTACAAACATTCTGGAATTATTTTCGGGAATCGACATTTCTGACAACTCTTTTTTAGGCATATTAACGTAAAATTGTCAGTGTAGACCAAGTGACGCAGTCGGTCCAGTGGAGCACGCGTCATCCTACCAAGGAACATACGAGATCTCTGTTTTGACGAAACCGTGCAGCAAGTCTCAGAAATTTTCGGTGAACAGTCGTCTCTGTTTAATATTCACCATTATAGTGTGAAACTATCGAAAAGGAATCTGAAGATTATATCGCTTATGCCTATAGGGTCACTCTTGAATGTGAACGATTCAAGTTATCTACCCTGACGGAAGACTAGTTCAAGTGTCTCATTTTCACATGCGGCTTTCAGTCGCATTCAGAGTGACATCAGAGCGAGGCTACTGAACAACATTAAACAGTCTCCCCGGGGTAACGATGCAGTCCATTACTCATTAGTCCCAGCGCCTTTTGGATCTCAAACACGACACGACCATTTTGGAGGGGCCATTATTCAACCCTGCCTCCAGTATTGCCAAAACGAATTCGAAGCAACCTCCCTTGGAGGCAAATTCGAACGAGCAAAGCACCCGTCGGCATGCTGGCAGTGTGGCGAATGACATTTTGTACGATTGTATCCTTGTTCAGTGTGCAATCGACGTGGACACAAGGAAAACCAGTGCCGGACACGGAAACCTAGCCGAACACTTAGCCAAGCCCGGAAATGACGAAACAGGCGGGGCCAGTCACAACCCCGGTTTAACGGAGAACCTGCCACCTATGAGAACCATGTTGAATGCTCCTTGGAAGTACGTAACGATCAGAGCGACTGCACTCGACACGGCCCCCAATATTACGGTTGTCCGCCGTCGTTCCTGGAAGAACCTTGGATCACTGAAGTACATATCGACAATGAACACTATCAGAAATGCGTCAGGAGGTAAGCTTCATTGCCTTGGTGAATTTGACTATGAGATAGAGATAGCAGGCCATCATGATGGCGGCATTGTCTACTTCGCCGCTTGTGATCTTAACCATCTGGATATAGATAGGATTGGTCATTTGCATCTTTCAACATTGCCGATCGACCACTTGTGCCCATTATCACCAGAAGGAAGACAGCCAATGTTTCGGTATGGAAACCGCGTGCTTGTGAAAGACTATCGCCTTGGGCACCGAAACTGGACTGTTATTTTGCTCTCAAAAGAATCGTCCAGGTGATTTGTAGTATCCGGATTGGGTCATCCAATATGGAAACGGTATGTAAATCAGCTATGGCCGACTGAGTGCCAGTCCATGACGGGCCCATAGCTGCAACCGAGACACTGGACCAGTTGCGTCAGAAAACAGGTAAAACCTTTTCACTTCTCACGATTTAAGGTTGTCACCTTGTCGTGCTGGTCCGGCTCCTGTACTGCGACTGGCTGGCTCGCAGTTCCCAAAGGTTCACCCTTACCTTGAAGGTTCAACGGGCAGCCGTCCGACAAAGAACAGCTAGTGCCTGTACTGTGATATATCTTATTGCGAGACGTTCTGGAAATAAACTCATAGTGTTCTCTGCGATGAGAGTGTGGAGGCAATGAAGCACTTCCTCCAGGCGACCAGCATGTCCGTATTCATTGAAGCAGCGATGCCGCCTTTCTCAGAGGAAGGGCTCTTTTGAAAAGTTCAGCCCTAATGGCCCAGATGTAGAGTGTTTTCACTGCAAGCAACAGCCACGTCCTATTTCAGTCGGTCAAAAGACAACAGCGAAGAAGACAGAACAGCAACTCATTCATAGAATCGTCTCCTGAGCGATGGGTTGAACACTTCAGAAAATAGTTCAGCTGGTCTCGTCGAGCACAGCTGCTGGAAGAACCCAGCGGGCCTGAATACGACATTGACACCAGCTAACCGTCAACAACATGAATCAATCATCGACCAATCCTTCAACGCAACAGGGCATCTGGTCCGAATGGTCTGCTCCTCGCACTTTTTAAAGAAGGCGGCGAGGCCCTGGTGAACCTGACGACCATACTTAAGATGATTTGGAATGAAAACAGAATACCCGTGGAACAGAACTCCTTGACCGTCATCCAAGGAGTCAAAAAGGGCGCAAGAACAGCATGCAAAATCCATCTTGGCATCATCCTGGTAATCCGTCGTATCTAGGGTGCTCTCACATTATTTTTAGGAGGTTGATCGATTATTGGGAGAAACAGATTCTCGGGAACCATCCATCCGAAGCCCCATCCGAAGCTTCATAGAGCACATTTTTTACAGTGAGCCAAGTTTTTGAATAGCACTACTCACTCAAAAGTCCCACGTTAGTCTGTTTTCTTGATCTGAAGCTTTTGACTAGTGAGCCAAGTTTTTGAATAGCACTACTCACTCAAAAGTCCCACGTTAGTCTGTTTTCTTGATCTGAAAGCTGCTTTTGACTCTCTCGATCGTCGGAACCTTTGGCAATATATGGCTATCAAGGATGCCCCTTCTAAACTTTCATCCCTTATGACGGCACTGTATGTGAATTCCTGTGGGCGCATGTTAGTATACGGGAAGCTCTTGTCTGAGTGCACCACGTCCAGTGATTTGCAAAGTGCCGAGGTGACGTCAGTTTGTCCGTCAGTGGCAGAGTTTACACTATGTTAGCGCGATCCATAATGCTTTGTGGATCAGAAGCATAAGCTGTACGCGCAGAGGACGCGCGATAGTTGTCAATGTTTGGCCATGGATGTCTTCGAGGCATTGGTCGGGAGTACATCGGATTAGTGGTGCTTAGGTACAGCAGATGGTTTTAGGAAAAAGGAACTCTGTCGCGATAGATTAATTACTTTACGCATGCCAGCTGACCGTCTGCATCACAGAGCTGTTTTCACCCAGCCCTATGCTGAGTGGAAACGACCCAGAATCGGACAGTCTATTACCTGCCAATGAGGTACGAAGATAATAACCAGTCGGGGTGACACGTGCTACCTCCTTGGATGGGGACTTCGTGACTCAACTCACCAATCGTTAATGATACTGGCAGAATTGGCCCAATCACGCAATCAATGGTGCCTATGCATCAAAGCTATTGCCTTCAGTGTGCTGCTACCCATTTCCCGAACTAACTGAACGTACCGTTGCCCCTAAAGCTTGGCTGTATCTCCGACTTCTTCCTTTCCAGTGATTGAAACTTTAGTAGCTGGAACCAGCGTACCTATGGCACTCGGTTGATGGCTGATAAATTCAGATTGAATTGATTTGATTAAGTCAAGTGGATAGCGACTTGAACCTGGTAATCCCATCTAGCTGATCCCTCTACGCCCACCTTGTACAAAGTGATACTTCATGTTGCTGATCTTTTCTGGGTCGAACTACGTATACTTTAAAACTCAACCAAAATCCGCCCTATGGTTTGCTCGTTGTCAGTTCCCAATGGAGGCTCGGTAGTTATTTGGATGAGACAATATGTTAACGCACTAGTGGTCATTTCATCAGCGCGTGATTAGGTCAAAGCTCAAATTTCTCAAATTTCTTCAAATTTCTTAGCTGTCCATACCGTTCAGTGGGTTGTCTGACTGTCCTCAGTATTTCAGTTGATGAAATGAAGTCATTAACAAATTATAGTTCATATTTCACCATGTCTTTAGAAGATTATAAGACGTCAGTTTGATTCTTTGTTTTTTCTTACTCATTAGCGTGGATGGGAGGGCCATGTGCACAGAGTATCTTAGTTTATGGCTGTGAAACTTCACACTTGCGTATCGAGGATACTGAACGTCTTCAGACGTTTCGTCGTCATTATCTTCACAGCATATCAGATGTTACTTATTCCTTGGTCTCAACATGCAGTGGCCCTTTCCACGCGGGAAGTTGTTTTTCTGTGGCGTGTAGTGTCATTGTTACCCACGAATTAGGTGTTTTATTGTCTGTGTACCAGGCCAGCGAATTCCTCCAAGAAGAGTTTAGGTGCAAAAGACTATAATTTCGTTTTTGTAAAAATACTACTATTTAAGAGCTAAGGTAATAAAGGTATGTAGATGCTAGCTTACGTTGGTCGGCAGTTATTTATTAATGCCATCTTGCTATACCTCGTCCGGCTTATGTGTGATTTATCTTCCCGTTTCTGCAGTGACTCCGAAAGTGATACTGACACTCTTCCTGCCACTGGGTGTGACACGCAGTGAGTCGCTTTTTAATTATATGCGTCTGAGATTCGATCATTTTTATTTTCCGGCTTGACTTGTCCCTGAGTAAAAATATCCTACGACGCTGTTAAAAATACATATTTCACGTACCATGCTCGCTCTCAAAGAATGCGATCGTCTTGAATGCCCAAACCAAACCATAAGCGCATTCTATTGGGTCGGAGAACACTAGCTCTTAGCTCTGTAGTTACGAAATTTCTGTGTAAAAAATCGATGGACTGAAGGGGAAGACACGAAAAGTTGTGATTTCAATAATTAACTTGAGACAGCGTTACGTAGAATGAAGTGAAAATAAATGTCTTTCCTGGCATCCGAGTTTTATCTGCTTGCAGTTGGTCGTACTCGCTGGGGACAATTTTCGTCGCATATGGAATCGGACAGTTGCAAACTTTCGAATGCATCTGGTGCAATTCATCGGTTGATCGAGCGTTATTTCCTAATCCCACTTATCTCCGGTTCCTAGATGTCGCTATCCATCTTGGTACAGATCCGTACAGATCGAGTTGTCTTCCATTGTGTTTTCTGTGCTACTGGACAGTTTGATCTTGCGGACTGAATGATTGCTCCATCTCCTGTTTACTTTGGATGTGGTAGTGGGTTGCACAAATGGCGGTTGGAGTTAGCCAGCTCACTGTTTGCACAAGCTGTTTACAAGCTTTCTGTAATGTATTACCCTCTAAATGAGGAGGCCAAACCCTAAATTACCCTTGAGTCACTTTCGCATTACTTCTGGTACTCCGTTTTGGTCGAGCTGGCCGTTTTCAAAGGACGTAGCCATTGGCGCTTCCCTGTCACCTACTTTTGTCTGCTAGCATTACCGTTGTCGATCTTTCAATATTCTCATTCAAGCACACATATTTCGTTTACAAAAGAGCAGCTCCGAAATAAATACATGCTGTTGTGTTCCATAGTCCCCATAATTTTGCCGTGTGTGCCAGCCATTCACTGTTTCACCTGAAATCGTTGCACCTTTTCCGTTGTTGGAAGCTTCCGAGTTCTACTGTTCAAGTTCATGATCTTTTTTTTATAATATTGTACATCTGGGTCATACGGATGCCCATAGAGCTATTTGACCCTTGTTTGTTGACTACTGATTCCTAGTTTTCCCTCCTTTGTAATGGGAACCGACTTTTGTTTCCATTTGGCCGTGATGAGCACTCGACCGGTGCATAGGGCCCGAGAAGTCAGCGGAGAAGTTGACCAATGTCCCAGGTATGGAAATTTCGGTAGCCATATCATCCTCATTCCGACCGTAATGAAACAATGCTACCGTCCTACATAATTACGAGCGTGACCAATCCGTATCGGTCAGTGCAATAAAATCCCCGAACAGTTCTTGATGCTACATTGCGGCGATTCGACAGTGTTGACTGGTATGTATTGCATCCAGGAATTCAACTGTCGTGCCCATTATCAACCTCCCTGACCAATCAAATCCTTTTCGTTGCTTTGGAACTCAATACGTCCAGCTCGAGTATCACACGCTCTTTTTGGAAGGACTTCTTGAGTACCCTAATTCCCGGATCAGGAGATCCTGCTGTTGGAGGTATTTCCAGCGACACGCGGACAAGGAAGGAACAGCGGCATGCCTTACTATTCTGCTAATTTTACGCACTGCGGGTAGGCCTTAATTCTGCAACACAATAGTTCTATCGACTTTTGGATCCGGGTACACTTGTTTGTCGTTACATCAGCATCATTGGATAGTTACTCCCTAACCTCAGAAATAGTCGTGAGAATCCACCACGGCTCATAGTATTGGAGAAGGTTTGTGGTAGAGTGGTTGGTCGAAACCGGGTACCTTCGATATTTCTCCTTTTCCTCTATGTAGACTTACTGAAGTTCTCGTCATCAGGGAATCTGAATTTTGAACTGACACTCAATTGGCATGCAAGCAATAATCGAATGAAGCACGCGTTATTATCTTCTACGGATAGCAGATATATCATGTATCTGGTGCATTCGTGCTCACTCAGTTTGCTTTTGGGTCCTAATATCCGAATAGTTGACCATCCACTATTTGGACATAGCTTTTTCACACAGTAAATTGGTCCGGATGGTTTTGCTTCATAAGAATCATAGCAGAGTCAATCAAACCGGCTATCCAGACAGTACGTGTCCATGGGTGCGACAATGACGGCTATTCACTTGAGTTCGGTATACTCTACCACTTTATCACGAAACCCTCAACATATTTACACAAGTGAGGGTTTTGTTCTGGTTGAATCTTGGAGTATCTAAACAGCGTTTGAGTTATGGTTGTCTATAGTTTTCCGCTGTAAGCAGCTTGCGGTAATTTGTTTCATTGACAGTTATAATATCTTCGTTTGCTTTTGTTCATCTTCACTTTGTTTGCTATTGTCATTCTCAGCGAATGGACCACAACCCCGATTGCCAGTCGTGTTAAAACCGTCTCCACGATCCAAAAGAAGAGAAGGTAGGTTATAACGCAGTTAGCTAATGTGAAATCTGAGTTTCTTTGGGTTTGACTTTATGAGAACGAGACTGTACAAATCGCTCATTCAACTCCCGGTCATTTTCATTTGGAAGGTTGCGCTACCAACTTCGTGCTTTCAAATAGTGTCTTGATGGGGTAACAAGAAGTATATCAACTAGCGTTTTGATGTATGCAATTTTGTCGCCATCCGCTGTGCCTACTCTTCTGACTTTATTTTTCGGTATTTTTCTTTGTCCGAAGCCTGCCCTGGTCATTGCCGGCTTCCTGGATGGGGACCCCGAGACGGTCCACATCAATGGTTAGAGACATTGTCAGACATGACCCAGTCGTGCCCTAAGTTGCGCCCGTGCATCCAAGCTATTGCCTTCAATGCATAGCTCCATTCCCAATCCCACCACTTAACAGTACAACTACAGTGCTATAATTATTCACTAATTTATCAGCTCCCGCCTCCAATGCGCAGCTACCTACCCCACCTCCCCGAATCATCGGTGAACGAAGCTGTGGCAGCTACAACCACTGTACGACGAGTACGCGGTTATTACAGCTCTTGCGCGTACGCTGGATTCCCTCTGTATTGATGTATGTTGTCTGTCAGAAACAAGGACGCAGGATGCAAGTACTGTAATCG